GCTCAGGTTTGTGTTTTCTATGAAGCATTTTATACAGCTACAGGCAAAATAAATAGTAATATGTTGGTAAGTCTGGGTTTCACATTCCCAAAAACAAATCCACCAAAATTCTGGAACCGTTTGACTTCAAACTGTTAAAAATTAAGTTTTGTTAAAGAAAAATTGATGCCTTTTCAGGTTGCAGAAACATGTTCTTATCCCAGAATTTTTAACAGATTTTCACACAGTACATGCAGGGTGCTGGGATAGCAACCATTATAATTACAAGAGAACTGTATTAATTTCCTGATTTCCAAGCTTTGAAATGGACACTTGTGTAATTCAGTTCTAATATGAATTATAAATATTGATTCACAGAGTAGGATGAAATGCAATAATGCCATAGAAAACTGTCTGTCTCGGGTTATGAAAGAAACAAATGAAGAAAACCGGTAATACGGCATCTGCAGTTACCTCCAGATAACGGAACTCGGTATAAGTTATCTGCAGCCAGTTAGGCCTAGTCATATATTTCTGTGCCATCTTATTTTATAATCTTTGATTTGCATTCTGGTCAGTAGCTTCTGTGACAGTCTGTGTTGCTTATGCATCAGGCTAAAAGAGGAGCATTTACTTGATTGCTCAGTTTTACTTATTTCTACATGCACAGCTCAACATTACATTTCAAGGACATCAGTAAATATGAATAGCCTTGCAGATGCTACTGCGAAGCTGCTTTCATCATCTAGACTAAAAGAGAGAGCTCCTACAAGAAGGTCCTTTCTTCGAAGTACAGAAAATGTATTGGCAAATGCTTTATTTGCTTACTTTTAAAAATAAGTGAATAGTCACTGAATGATTAATGTAAGTCCATGTAGAAAATCTGTTCTTGTAATTTTCTTCACATCAATACTTGCAAGTACACAATTATTGTATGAAAAGACTAAAACTAAAAATAAACAAACAAATCCTCTTAGCTAGTCATGTAAGAAACATGTAAAGCATAGAAGTAGCTCTGCTGAAATCTGGATTTGAGGTGGGCTGGGTAATCCTCTGTTGACTTAGCCAGTCAGTCCTGCGCACACCCCAGAGCAGTTATTGCTGTTGGATTCCAGAGGGGAGTTGGTGAGTATTTAGGGTGAATCATTGCTTTTGAGAATATGTGGGGTGTCCAGAATTAGACTTGCTTTGGAAGTTGAAAATGTTATTTTGTGACTTGCTCGTCTTGGGAGATGGATGACAGGTGGATTTCTGGAAATACGATGTGCTGGAGAAATGAAAGAAAGGCTGGTTTTAGCCTAGTTTCTTAAGGAAACTGGGCTTGTGTCAGCTTGTGTCTCTTAAGTTGTACCAGTGTTTATTTTTTAAATTTAATTCTGCCAATTTCAAACATATTTATGAGTAAACTTTTACAAGTTTCATGAAAATAAACAGCTAGCTTATTTTTAGTATTTCCATAGAAGAAAAACTTGCAATGTGAATATTGTTTATTAAACACTATAGAATCCACATGGGAAAGAGCTCCAGAATGCCCAATCACAAACAAAAGAAAAGCCACCAGAAGTCTTACCTTTAGCCACACGTACAACAAGCGCAGGAAACCAGACATTGAGTCCCACTGTACACAGATCAACTTGTTTTCCTCAGTGAGATGTCTACTCTCAGTGTTTTTGAGGAGTTGGCCTAAGACTGGTTTACTTAGCTGTATGAAAGAGTATTGTTAATAGCAGAATGAAGTGCGTTAAAAGACAATTGCACTCAATCCGAGGTGAAATTGTACAAGCTGTGACATGACACTTCTCACTTTTTCCCATCTTTAACCATCCTTGTTTTTCTCTTAATGTGTATTCCATTTTTTTCTGTAAGAATTCTGACTTATTTTTGATATGATAAATGCACAGTGGCATCGCAGGCAAGAAACTGACTGCCTTAGGGGCAGTGATATACAATCTAGCTTTGCAGTGAAACTTCAACCACCTCAATCATATAGAGCTTGAGAGGGGGCTCATCCTTTGTAGCATCTCCTTTTCCCCTGTCAAGAGAGAGTTATATTAAGTTGCTGTTTACCAAGTCCTTGTAACTTTTTGGTGGTTAATTCTACCAGAAAAATCCCAAGTCTGTAAAGCCATTTAGTTTATTAGTAGCTTAAACCAGGAAAAAGAAAATGAAGAGGGAGCAAAGGATTTATGCAGAGTTTCTACAAAGGTTCTTTAGTATTATGTAACGTTGTGTTTGTTTTGAATTTGGTTGGTTTGTATGTGTACCACCAACTTTGTGCATGTTTGGGCAAGGAATACTTTATAATGGACCTTAGCAAACTGGAGGGCAGCTCTGTAAGAGCATCTTTATGGGATAGTCATAAACTAGAATAATTTCTGTTGCATATTTTCATCTTCTTGTTTATACTGTTTATGGAGTTTTGCATAGAGGACATACTGAATGCCTTCTTACCTTCTATAGTTCCAGTGCATAAGGCATCAGGGGCTATCAAAAGCCAAACCTGGCCCCTGTTAATACTTGAAATGCATTCTCTGTTCTCTGCTGCCTTCTTTTTGAGCCATTCAGGTCTAGAATCCTCTTTGGCAATTTCCTCTCATAAATCCTGTGGCAAGAAACAATACACCTGTGGCTTGTAATACAATGTGGAGGCTTATGAATATAACACTTAAACCTTTCTAGTGTCTATTAATAATACTCCAACACTATGAACAGTGTTGGGTAAAACCCATGTTTTAAAATATTTCTTATTCCTTTTCCTCAAATCCTGACTTTTTCAACCTAACAGTCGCATAAGGCCAGCTTATATTCATGCCTACAGTTGTAGTGGGTTTACAGTAGGGTAGCTTTTGATGTTTCCGTCTTGTCCTGGGAGTCATCAGATAGCAGATTTTAAAGTAGTTATATTGTCTGTTTTCTAAAGTTTGCAAAACTTTCTCTGAGATTCAGCTTACCTTTATTGCATGGAATACAAGATATATATCTGGTTCTGTATCTGTATCAGAATGATTGATTCTTCTTGGGGCCTGCAAGTAAGGAGCAGGGGGAGCTTTGTATTATGTGAAGTCTGATACACACTATGTAGTGCAGGACTAGGATAATATCCTAGGAATACAGAAATAGTTTACAATCTTCAGCCACAGGGGATGCTGGATTCTGTTAACATTTCTTTTTAGTTTGCACCTGAAGTCCTAAGTATCATGCAAAGAAAGGGCAATATTGTGTGCTTGTGTCTGCCTCTCTGATTGTATGTTGCTAGATCATAGACCTGTATAGGACTTTTAATCTTGATCTAGAATTAGGATCATATTTTAATGTACTAGAATATGGCTATATTAATTCTTAGAGTATTTTTGCTGTAAAACAACAGATGAATTTCTTGAAATTTTTTTTTTAAGATTAAGTAGATTTTTGTGAGAAAGTGAGAAGCAAGATCAAATAGGAGACCAACAGAGGGAGGGAGGGAGAGTGAGCGAGAAAGGGGTCTAGTTTGTCCATAAATATTGTCTTATCAAAGCAGACAGAAATAAGCCTGAGGCAGAACTGTTTCCAGTTTTCATTTAAGCTCCACTTTCCTGTTGTCTCCCTAAAGGGATCCACTATAACCACTAGATTAGAAAAATGAAAATGCACCGCTCTTTTGGTTATAATCCAATGCATTTCTGCTAATTTTTTAGTCAGCCATAAGCTTTGTGATGTTAACCAAGCGCAAAAACATTTTTTGCATAATCTACTTGAAAGCAGATCACTTTTATAGAAATCTCCTGTTACTCAGAAGATTCATAAACACCAGACTTTGACATTTATTACCAATAGCTGCTAGGTAATCTGCAAAGCAATACGACTTGTTATTGCCTTAAGTCCTAAGGTCTGTCTGTTTTAGGTCTTGTAACAGTGCTTTAAGCAGCCCCTTGGTAATATATTATTACTGGATATGATACCACCAAAACATTCTGCAAAAAACAGGTGGCAAGTTGTTATTTCACAGCCCACAGACACAGGAGTTGCTAAAAATGATAACTTGTTATTTCAGATTTATCTTTCCCAAAGGCTGTCCAATAGCGCTTTAAATTAAGCTTCTTTAATGCATATTTAATTTAGAACTCAATAAGCCTAGTCTGAGATGTTGGGCATTTACAAACTAGCAGCTAAAATCATATGAGGATTACCAAATGTGCTTAGTTATTGATCTGCTATGCATCTTTACAGTATAGTAACTCTCAACCCATACTGACTAAGTAAAATTTAATTACATAGTTCTTAGTACCCAGAACAAGTAATTGGGGGCACATGTTAAAATATTGTTATACTATTTTTTTTGCACAATATGTATTACCTGCTGTTACAAATAAACTTCAGTATAATTTTGTAATGAAAACGTATTAATGGAGAAAAGTTTTTTCATTGCTTGAACTTATTTCTGTTTTGGGGATTTAACCTTAAATGCAAGACTGACTGTACAAATATACAGATACTATTTCCTCTCAGCTTGTAAGTAAAGGAATCGGGGGAGAAGTCGTCTGCAGAAGAGGACAAACAAAGAAATGGAGTTGCCACGGGCTGCCTATTGCATTATTCATTCAATTATTCAATTGTGCATTACTCACAGACTTTCCAAAAGTCTTGGGAAATATACCAGCTTACTCATCATTGCTCTTCCTTATCCCCAAAGATGTTATACAATTAGTCACATTCTCTTTCTTTATATTAGAAATGTTCACATGACCATTTAACCAAGACTTAACACTCCAGTAAGCTACCATATGGCAACCTGTGTGCCAGGAATTATGTATTTCCAGTGTTGGCTTTGGCACTGATACTCTTCATGGTTTTATTTGCTTCATCTAGATACATCCAATATCTGTCCTCTTGTCAGTCTTTTTCATAATCCATCTCTTCAAATCCGTAATCTTCAAAACATGCTTCATGTAGCAATGATGGATAAGTGGTTCTCTAAGTATTCTCAAAGAGAAAAGCCACATGCTATCCTACACCTTGGGCTATGCATTTGGTCTCATTTTAATTCTCTGGTAGTGTAGCTGTTGATTTTAGTAGGTCTAAATTTAAATCATAATTTACACTATAGTAAATGAGAGGAGAATCAGCTGTTGAAACAATCCATCTGATTGAAAAAATAGTACTTAATAAAGTTACGTGACAGTAACATATCTTGATTAACGCATACATATTACTTTTGTCTTTTGAGACTTTATTACTGTAACATAATCTGTCATCTGTGTATGGGAGGCCAGTGCCAATTATGTTTGGGAACTGATACCAGGAATCATAATGGTATTTAGGTCCTTGGAAATCCATCCCTGAATGCAGCATATGAGAATGGAAGATGCAGCTTAATTAAAGGTGCTTTCTTCTTATTCCGGATACATTTAGAGAATAGTTAAAGTTTATCTGCCTCTTATTTCTAATCTTTTCACTTTTCACTTCAGACGTTACATTTAAGTTTATTTGGCAGAAAGGGTGTTCATGATTAACCTTCAACGTTATACATCATGGCTGTATGCCTGTACACAGTATATATCCTGCTTTAGTACTCACTCCACCATTTTAATAGATGCTTTCTTTTCAGGACGACTAAATTGGTGGTCCACAGTGTGTACAAGCTGCAAACGTCTTCTTCCCTTGGCTACAACAGGTGATGGAAACTGCCTCTTGCATGCTGCATCTTTAGGTAAGGGAGAGTCTGTACATGAGACCTTCTGCCAGAAATATTTACCGCTTTTCTCTGTCCGCAGCAAAAGCTCAGAAACACATGGGATGCAAAGACTTTCATTAAAAGCCTGGTTCTGGAGCAATATATTCTTCAAATTTCACTGAAGTATTGTTTGCTTTAGGAATGCTTGAGGGAGGAAGGTAAAAGTTTCGTCAGGTTATAAAAGAAGTATAATTGGAATAGTATCAAAAACCATGTATCATAAACACCACTGATTTGCAGTTTCCTTACAGAGCTCAACCTAGCAGCTCTGGAACGGCAAATTCCAGGTGCTTCTGCAGGATTGTCCTCATTGTGGGCAAGGAATTGCATTCATTCTTTGGCTTTTGTTAAACAGTTCTCTTACTGAATTCAAGAATGCAATATCTAACTATTATCTCTGTTGGTTCCTTGTAGAGTTTAAGTATATGGGAAACAGAGTTTGAGGTGAATTAAAATAATTTCCAGTTGATTAATTGATCATTATACAAGATCTTTGAAGCCTTTCTTCCAATCAAATAAATAGAAACCTGTGAAGCTGAAAGTCTTTGATATGCCTTCTATATCCTAACCTATTATGAGGAAACTTACTTTTTTGTTGCAGTGGCTAAAATCTTCTACCAGCGGAACTCTAGAAGGTGACTTTTTAAAAAACACTGGGATTTTTCAGTATTTTGAAGAGATTCTTCTTTTTGAAATTAGTAGTAAGAAAAGAGCTTTTGCTGTTTCTGAGGATCCTTTTATCTTTGACCACTTCATTTTTAATTAGGAGGAATTGTGTATTATTTACAGCAAATGATTGGAGTATTTTGACTTGCAAATTCTTAAATAAACATATTTAATGCCAGCAGCTGACAATTTGGTAATTGAAACGTGGTTGTCTATGGGCACATGTCTTGGTAAGAGCTCTGCTCTCTTTTGTTGTAGGTTACTATTCTCAACTACATGAAGACGTTTTATTATCTCAAAATTAGCTTGAAAGCCTGTGGCTGGTTGTATTTTTAGACTTCCAATCATCTTGAATGCTCATCTCTTTATTTGGATGTTGAAGCCAAAGGAAATTTACCATCATGCTGTGTAAGAGTTGGAAGCCTTTGGGTGTCAGCATCTTCTGTGATTCGCCGAAGTGCCTGCAGTTGTCATTAGCATTCTTGTGTCTGCAAGCTCTGTTGGCAACTACAGCTAAAACCAACCTGTGCATTGAATATTCCATTGCCTGCAGCAAAGTTGAAGTCACCTGCAAGCAAACACTGAAACAATTCAAATCCTTAATCATTCCTTAATCAAAGTTTAAACTTTATTAGAATTCCCTCTTGTTGTTCATTAGCTTATCTAAATTGACTGTTTCTTTAGGAAACCTTAAAAATAATGAGCGAATTATTTGCTAAGGAGAATCTTAAATCATGTATAAGCTATGCTTCTTTTGCTAATAGAGCAATATTAATTGTATTAGTGCTTACTATTTCTATTTCACTGTAGCTTCTTTAAAACTGAATGTCGTCTTGTGCTACTTTAGGGATGTGGGGATTTCATGACCGGGACCTTGTTTTACGTAAAGCACTCTATACTATGATGAGAAGTGGAGCTGAAAGGGAAGCACTGAAAAGAAGATGGAGATGGCAACAGACCCAGCAGAATAAGGAGGTCTGTACTGCCTAAAGACAGTCTTGTTAATATCATTTAGAATCAAAAGCATTCTTCTGAAGTTTGGTGTGAGAGTTTTAATTGCTGTCAAATTCCTTGTGCTTCCATTTTGCATGGGGAAAGAGATACTTGTATTTAGAATTTTTGTATCAGAATGCAAATGTGTTTGTAGCTTTGTGGGCATATGCAGAGTTTTGTGCCTGCAAAGGTTTAAGATGAGTTTGGAACTTGTAGAAAATTTTGGCCTGCAAAATTAAATGTATAATTTAGCTATCACAAGTATTATAAAATGAGTGGATGAAATCCACAAAAGAAAGAAAACCCCGTTTAGGAAAGATTCCCCAGAATGGTGATTTAGGATTCTTAGAGCTGCGACCAAATATTGAGTGGATGTTTCTTAACTAAAATAATCTGTAGATTTGGTTTGACTGTTGATTAAAAGCTGTACTTCAGCATGTATTATTTTCTGAAGATGTCTGTGCCTAAACAGTGGCTAAAAAAGCCAATTTCAGGAGTAATCCTGAACGCAATCAATTGAATATGCTTAAATGTTTGTGACTTATTTGTAATCTGCTTTTTGTTGGCAGCAGTCAATGAGAATACAGCTGAGCTGTCACTGACTCAGCTACTTCAGGCTACCTGAAAACACAGGGGCACAGAAGCACTTACATACCCTTTCTGCTCTTGAACCGAGGGAGAAAGCATCACCTGTCTGCCAAGGAGGGCATTCATAGTAGTTCCATATATTGGGAAAGAAAGCAAACTTCCAGAAATGGGCAGTAAAGCATACTAACCATGGTTGCAAGGAATTCCCATGGGCATGAATAACTGGATCTCCAATAGTGGAGCACGGTGTTAGCAGCAGACGACCCACATCTAGAAATGTAATCCAGCCTACAGTTAGTGGTTTAGATCTTTTTTTAATAAGTTAATATTCTTTCACCTGAATAGAAATGTTGAACCATTAATGGTCCAAGATACAAAACCGTATCATGTATGAAGCTCAAAATAAGTTAGTCCTAAATACTACCACAGAACTCTTCTTACATTTTGTACCAGCATAATTGTAAAGGTATTTCATTCTCTCCCATAGTCAGGATTAGTGTATACAGAAGACGAATGGGAACGGGAGTGGAATGAACTGCTTAAACTGGCATCCAGTGAGCCTCGTACACATTTCAGCAAAAATGGAGGCACTGGTGGTGGGTAAGTTTAGAATATGACCAAATCTTTTAGTTTTTGTTCTCAGTAGGAAAACAATACAGTACAAATGAATGAAGATGTTTATAGGACCATCAAACTGCCTTTTCAACTGGTTGCAATTTTTTTTTGCATGGTAGAATATAATCATCTAAACATGCCATTATAATATTTAGCGTTTTGATTAAATTTCCTTCTACAGTTACCACACTAACTTGAGGTTACTTTGCATCAAAAGAGTCTGGATTTCATAAACCCTGATTTCTTGGTTTCTGGAACAGGCATGTTGGCAGTAGCATTTAGCTTCAAGATGAAGTGCCTCGTCTCACTGAAGATACATAGCTTTTCGATTGAGGAAGACTTAGCAGAAAGATAGCTACAGCTCAGATATTTTCACTAAAACATGGAATGACAGAATAACATCACATCTTCTAATAACATTCTAGAAGAAAGCAGTTTGTGCCTGGATATCACCTTTTCTGTGCTTTAGCACAGCTTTAATGCCATCTTCTCATATTCATAGATTTATTTCAGTCCTTTTCTGCTTTGTAGTTCAAACAGAAAACCTTCAGAGAGAGTTTTTTTGAGGACACATCACCAAGTAACTCTTCACATTTTCTACTTTTAAAATGCTGTTAACCCTAAACATACAGGGGGGGGAAAGTAATATTTTTTGTATTAAAGCTAAAGATTAAATATTTGGATGCAGTGTCTTTTTAAACAGAAAGTAGAATATCGAGTTATACTTTGTAGTTTCATGAAAAATCCTTCTGAAAAATCAATATGCTACTTCACTCTTTGACCAGTTATAAAAAACTTTAACTAAAAATTATGATAATTAATATTGCACTGATAGGAACAGTTGCCCTTTCTTTGACTATTCAAGCTTTTATTAAACCCATGTAACATAAAGAGTGCTCTCAAACGCAACAATTATTTAAAGATTGTAGGGGGTTTTATTTCAAAGTAAATTGATTCACTATCATCCTAGTAAAACTGGATGTTGCTGGAAGGTTCTGCACAGGGTATGTCTGTATTTCTAAGAACCACATCAGATTCTTTTCTTACCTAACTTTGTATCTGTTTATCTAGATTGATTCCATAGGAGTATGGCTGATTGCAGCTACTTTGATCACACTCTGCAAAGTTGCAATGTTTGCCAGTTACTACCCAGTTCTAACAGGCAAGGAAGGCAAGAGTGTGTTTTCTTGAAGACCAGCTTAGTATGTGTGTTTAATCTTTGTATAATACTCAGTTATTAGCATTTTAATCAATTAGCTGCTTATAAACAGTACCAGAAGATTTGATGGTTGCAGGGAAAAACCCAGTACTGTCTACTGCCAGCATGCATTTAGTTTAGATGTTTAGAAGCTATTGGAAAAAATGGATAGAAACATATTTGTGAAAAAGTTTGGGATGAAATAGTATCTACAACATTTAAATACCCCTGATATACATACAGAGTCTGCTTTAAATAGCTGGTATGATAAACCATCCCTCATTTTCAGTGCAGTTGTTCCCAAAGTATAGGATTATTGACCAATCTTAAGAATGCAGAAGCTTTAGTTTTTGTGTCTAGTGTTTATCACTAAAAATATGTAGTATATATTTACTCAGTGCATGGTTTTCTCTAGCTACTGTTTCCCCTGGAGAAAATTGCATGTGGTGATAAGTAAATTGACAAAATAGGGCATACAACACAATGAGAGTAATAAAATCTTTAGAAAATATTCTCTGGGTTTTGAAAGAATATTGTATTTTCCTTTTAACCTTATGATGTCAAGGATAGGTAATTCTACTAATGCAAGAGGACATTGTTTAGAAAATTGTCAGCCATAATGTATCTCATTTTATTCTATTTTGAGGCTAAAAAAAAAATAGATTGGTTTTCATTTTACTCTCCAGTTTGTTTTCTATTAAATTTGGCCATTCACCACCAATTTTCTCTGGCCTTATTCTGTCTGTTTCATTCTGTATGTTTCACGTACTATGTAGTTTCAGTATCTACCAGTCAGAGATGTCCTCAAACGTTGCATTGGCCAGTCAATCAACCACCTTTACCTTTAGTTCCCAGGTACTTAAACAGGGAGTATCACTATTACATAATTACATAATTAATTTAAATTGGTTTTAATGTTCTCATCATGGTTTACATTTATCTTTTTGCAAATTGAAATAAAGTAAGGATAAATAGACAACAGTTAATTTTTCCTTTAAAATAGTGAAAGAGGAATCAGACAAGAAACTTAGCCTATTAAACGTGAATATGTAGTTCTCTTTACAATCATTCCAAAGACAGAATGAATGTGACAGAATTAATTTTTTCTCAGTTTAATGTACCCATGTTCAAAATAGAGCCCTTGAGAAGGAAAAGGAATATCAAAATAGTATTTTTGAGATGGGGTATATTACATTCTCTAGTTGGGTACTGTATTAAGAAAGCTTGCAAATTAGTCTTTGAATTGTAGATGAGGCATTTTCCTTTGGTGTCAGAATTAGCTAAAGCATCAGAAGTTGTATCTGCTTCAGAAGAATTCAGTGACAAGCCTGAGTCTGGAATTATGCTGCCTCATTCACCTGCAAGTTCCTTTTAGTTATTTTTCAGAGTGAGCTACATGCAAAGGAGATCAGCAATTGTCGCTGTATCTCCCAAGATTTCTTCTTTGAGAGCACACTCATTCTGAGGCTTGAAAGTTAGAAAAAAAGATGATGATAAAGGGAACATAGAAAAACCTGGTTCTTAAGTTCTTGTTTCCAACAGGTAAAATCCTTCAAGCACTAAAGCAGAGCAAACTAATTAATTAACTAATATGAAGCAGATTCTTGTTTTGAAACAGATTTGCACATCTTTCTGTAAATGTAAAAAATAAATTTCAAATCAACATAATTGTTTCATTTATCTCCATTTACAAGCAAAACCAGGGGTAGTGAATTGAAGCAACTGCTTTGAAAAAAGGAAAATGTGTTGTACCCTCTGTTTTTGTTAAGAACCTAACTATTGCAATCCTACTAAAGAGAAAATTCCAACCCATTCCTTCATTTTGCAGACTATTGTCAGTCAGAGATTTCAAAGCCTGTCCTAGTGCTAGACTGAATGTCACTGTTGTTACTCACTTCTTGAAAACCCAGTAGAGCTGAAAGCTAGATGTCGTGTTGTGTCGTGGTGTGAGCTAATACAGATTTTGAAAGTAGATGGTATTCTTATTTAGTGTTAACTGTCACCTTCTAGCTAGCTGTCTCATATGCTGTTGGCACTATCTTTATAAAGTCAAGTGATGTTAAATGGGGAAGAAGGGAGGGAATATTGCCGTAATCTTCCCATGTGTCATTAGAGTTTTATTTAAGGCAGAAAACCAGAACATTTAAGCCGGAAGGTACCTCTCAAATGCATGTAATCTCTGAGGTTTCAGACTTGGTTAGGTATTCGGAGTATTTCAACATATAATTCTTCATACAAAACTACTGTGTCCATCAAAGACCCTCATCTTTGCAATGCTACAGGCTTGGGGAAGAGTG